GGGTGCCGGGGAGTGACTCACCCCTCCCAGCCCCAGGTCCCTTCATCTGTGCAGGTGGGGACACGAGCCCGCTGCCCAGCCGACGTTGAGTCGTCACGGCGGGGTTGATCTCTTACCAAGGAGACGAGACCAAGCGCCATCAGGAGCAAGATCGAGGGACGGAGCAGGCGGCAGGTTTCTGGTCTTTGCCTGAAAGCAGCGCAGCAGAAATCCGATGGCTCCCTGCCCTCACCCGCCGCGCTTGCCCTCGCTGTGTCTGTCATATACCGCCTGCCGCCGCCCCCGCAGGGAATGCCGCGACACAGCCCAGCCTCTGGCAACCCGGCTCCAGGAGGAGGCCGACCGTGCTGCCTCCCTGTCACCCTCTTGCTCCGTAGACCCTCAGGAGTCACCCGCCCCGGTGACCTCTTCCCCACTAAGCACCCTCTTCCCACGAGGAGCCGAAATGAACGCTGCGCTGGAAGGAGCCCAGGAGATTCACTGCTTTCTGTTGGTTTTTTTGAAGACAGAGTGTACCTCTGTTCTCCCCGCACACGACACACTAGAGTTGCGTGGTGTCATCACACTCACTCAGCCTCCAACCCTCAAACTCCTGGCTCGGGGACCTCCTGCCCTGGCTCCCAAGTTAAACTGGTGACCTCCAGGTCATGCCACCATGCCTGGGTAATTTTGTTTGTTTTTCAGTAGCGATACGGGTCTCCATCTTGCTCAGGCTGCTCCCACTCTGGCTCCCCGAGTGCTGGTTACCCAGGCGTGAGCCACCTGCCCCCCCCCCGCCTTTACCTCCAACGTTTCTAAATCACGACCATGGAACTATTTACCTCTTATAGCTTCCTGAAACAAAAGAACGCGGGACGAAAATTTGAAATTTACAGTCTTAAAATTATTCTTTTCCATTTTTTGTAGGTGTTGATAGTTTGGTTTTAGGGAAATATAAGCGGAAATAATTTTCCTTCAATTTGGAAGGAAATTGTTCCACTTTTGAGCAACTTTTGTAAATCAACTTCATCGGAGGTATAATTTACATCAATAAAATGCAGCCCATTTTAGCTATACAGTTTGCTGAGCTGTTGACACCAGGTGTGTACGACACATGGACCACACCCAAACAAGATCAACACGGTGGTCCCTCAACCCATCTGAGTTTTCCCTCAGCCCGGCAAGCCGCTGAGCGCTGCTGGTAGCTATTTGGTCAAATACCGTCATATGACACGATGTCCTTTATGGCTGGCTGCCATTTTGCATGAAGTGGTATTGTTAATCGTATGTGTACGTGTCAAATTGCTGCATTGCTTTTCTCTGCGCTGAGGTAGCGATGGCTTGGCTTAATAGACACAAGCGTGTTTATCCTGTCACCTGTTGACAGACACTTCGTTTCGTTCCTGTTTGGGCGACAGATGCAGACAGTATGTGCAGGTATCTGTGTGGACATAGGTTTTTATTTCTCTTGAGTAAAGACCGGGGAGTGAAAAGGGTGAGTCATATGCTAGGTATATGTTTAACTTTGGAAGAAAGTGCCAAATTGCTTTCCAGAGTGGTTGTAGCATTTTCTATCCCTGCCAGCAACTCACGGGGAACTGCAGTCACACCAAGTTCTCCCCACACCTGGTCGTCTGTCTTTTGCGTTTTGGCCGTTCCAGCGATGTGCGGGGGTCTCACTGCAGCTGATGACTCATGCACTTACAGGCATTCGGTTTATCTTATCTTATCTTATCTTATTTTATTTTGAGACAGAGTCTCGCTTTGTTGCCCAGGCTAGAGTGAGTGCCGTGGCGTCAGCCTAGCTCACAGCAACCTCCAAGTCCTGGGCTCAAGCGAGATCCTCCTGCCTCAGCCTCCCGAGTAGCTGGGACTACAGGCATGTGCTACCATGCCCAGCTAATTTTTTGTATATATTTTTAGTTGGCCAATTCATTTCTTTCCATTTTCAGTAGAGACGGGGGTCTCGCTCTTAGTCAGGCTGGTCTCAAACTCCTGACCTTGACCGATCCTCCCGCCTCAGCCTCCCAGAGCGCTAGGATTACAGGCGTGAGTCACCGTGCCCGGCCCATTCATTTGTTTTGTGGTAAGTGTCTGTTGAAAACCTTTGCTCATTTTTGTTTTATTTTTTTTTCACCTGTACTAGACATCATCTTACCATCATTTTTATTTAAGTTGTTTCTCTTTTCATTATTGAGCTGTAGGATTCATTTACATATTCTGGACACAAGTCCTTTACCAGATATATGTATTAATATTATAGACATTTTCTCCCAGTCTGTGGCTCATCTATTCATTATTTCTTAAGTTGTTTTCTTTTGAGGAGAAATGTTAATTTTGATAGAGACTGGTTTATCACTTTTTGTGGTTTGAGCTTTTTTTTTCCTCATCTAGTAAGTTTTTGTCTACCCTATGTTAATGGATATTTTCTCCTATATTCTTCAGAAATTTTCATCATTTCTGTATGTGGTATGAAAGATTAAAGTTTTCTTAATGGACATCCAGGAGTTTCGGCCATTTGAATTGAAAATACTTCCCTTGCCCCAACACATCACCTTAGCACCTGTATCAAAATCCATTGACTATAAAAAATCCACTGACCGTAGATGTGCGGGTCTCTTTCTGGGACTCTGCATTTATCCCCCTGGTCCCTATGTCCACCCTAATAAAAACTTGCACTGAATGGCGTGGTGGCTCACGCCTGTAATCCTAGCACTCTGGGAGACCGAGGCGGGTGGATTGCTTGAGGTAAGGAGTTCGAAAACAGCCTTAGCGAGAGACACTGTCTCTACTAAAAATAGAAAGAAATTAAGTGACCAAATAAAAAGATATATAAACAAAAAATTAGCCGGGCATGGTGGTGCATGCCTGTAGTCCCAGCTACTCAGGAGGCTGTGGCGGGAGGATCGCTGGAGCCCAGGAGTTCAAGGCCACAGTGGGCTATGATCATGCCACTGCACTCCAGCCTAGGTGACAGAGCAAGATCCTGTCTCTAAAAAATAATAATGACGCCCCTCCAGACTGGCAGTTTCAAGGATGCAAATTGCATTGCAAAATCAAACTGACTCATAAAGCATTTGGGCCAGTGACTGTTTACTTCTGTTTGGCAGACAGACGCATTTGTGCCCAGTGTTTGTGCCCAGTCTTCTTTTTTTTTTTTTTTTTTTTGAGACAGAGTCTCACTTTGTTGCCCAGGCTAGAGTGAGTGCT